ATTCTGTCCCATCAAGAGCTGCAGAACGTGGTGTCTTCTATCCCCCATTCTATTAGCACCTGTCTACACCCGTGTAGTCCCACTCACCCCGCTTTATCCCATTCCTGGGACCACCTGTTACTTCCCCAGATCTCTCAGCGCCGAGCAGTGGATGCTCAGGAACGCTCAGTGGCTAAATAGAGCCACCCAGTCAGGTTGTTTTGCTCCTAGGTGACAGGTGTTGATGTCCCTCAGGCCGACATCAGTATCACACAAGGTGTCAACACAGTGATCCATGACCTGGGCTGAGTCCACCTGAACTCTGCACTCCCAGCTGGAGGCTTTCTCCTTGTCCCTCCTCTTGCTGCTTAGGCTTCTCCTCCTCTTTCTCTCCTCCCCCCACTGCCCCCTCCTTACTCCCTCCCACTGCTTCTCTCCTGCGCACCTGCCTGTCGCCTCTAATGCATGCGGCAGGCTTCCTTCTCCTCTTCCTGTTCTTCCACACGAAAGTGGGCATCCCCGGGTGTTCACCGACTTCCATGTTTTGTGGTGAAGCCGTCAGGAAGACTCTGCCCTCTGTTCCGCACCCATAGGACGGGGGTGTCTGGGGAGGCCTCTGAAACACAGCATACATGAGAGCCAGGTGCAGATCCAGCTCTTTGGCTAACCTGCATGGCTTTGCGTGGCAAAGACAGGGCCTCCTTGCTCCCTAGCAATTGCACAAGGCTGGGGGCACAGTTTTTGGCATGCAGCCAACTGCAGAGCCCTCCCTTCCTTTTACCACTGTGCCATTTCTGGGAAACACTCACTCTGCTGTGGGATTAATATGATTGAAGGAAGTCTCTTTCTCTGAACTACAATAAGCTCACTTCGTGGGGGGGGGGGGAGGGGTAGGTATTTCACACCGTTAGGAAAAGTTGTAGAAAGTGTCCTGTGTCCCTGGTTAGTTATCCAAATGCATCCAAATGCCTCTAGTGCTCATCACCCAGGCATAGCTGGCACTCACTGGCTTAGCTGTTGACATTCTCCACACCCACAATAGAACGCAAGCTGATGAGGGCTCGGGACATTCCGAGTCCTTTGTGCAGCACTGCTGGCACTGAGACCAGCACCTGGGGGAGAGTAGGTGCCTGCTGTGTCAGTCTCCTGCTCCCTGCACCAGCCCTGGTCGGCTCCCAGTGACAGGCATCATAACTGAACTGTGTCCCTCAGCATCCCAGCTCAGGCCCCTTGGCAGGCTGAGCGTCCAGAGCAGAAGCGTCTCCCACCAAGGGTGTGCACCGGGGCAATGGCCGTCCTGGCATGGAATCTTCCTCGTACTGCTTGTGTGTCCCTAGGGCCAGCATGTGGCCTCTCGATACAGTCATCTCCTCCATGCAGTGTGGGAAAGCACAGATTCTGCAGGGCCAACGCGCTGAGTGATTGCATCTAAGGCCCAGATGCTTCCTTCAGTGGATGGCAGCATAAAGACCAGCATCTCACACTGGATGGCTCCATCCCACTTGGCTCCACGTCTGTGCACATCGTGTGGGGCAGCCTCTGGCTTGGCACGTGGCCCAGGACAGCTACACAGAGCGTGTAGTTTGCTGTTGCTCTTGTGTGGCACGGAAGTCCTCCATTTCTGGCCCCAGCTTTCTCCCCAAACCTCTCTCCCTCTGCTGCAGATGTCAAAGCGTTCAGTCATACCCAGTTCCATCGTGGGCCAGGCCAATGACTTGTGCCCCAGATTCTTCACTTGCAAAATGTTAGTCACCTTTGTTGTTTGTTGGGGAACCTCGCTGAGATAGTCGATTGAAACACTTAGCTCAGGGTACTGCCGTGTGGTGCAGCAGATGAACCCAAAGCCCGCAACATCAACATCCCTTATCAGAGAGCCAGTTAGACACTTGGCTACTCTGTTTCTGATCATACTTCCTGCTAATGCACCTGGGAAGGCAGCAGAAGGTGGCCCAAGATCTTGGATCCCTGGTACCCACGTGGGAGACCCAGATGGAGTTCCTGGCTCCTGGCCCAGTCCAGACCGCATCTGGGGAGTGAACCAGCGGTTGGAAGCTTTCTTTATCTCACCCTCCCCCTCTGTCACTCTGCCTTTCAAATAAATAAAATGAAACACATAGGTCACATTACCTTGCTTGTGGCAGAAACTAAGTGACCAGAAGTCATTTTCTGGGATGCCTCTTTCAGTCCCCACAGCCAGGTGAGCCACATGGTTTATGACAACGTGTAAGTGTATTTAGATTGCACTGCAGAAAGGTGCATACTGTGGGCATGTTCATGGGGGTCGCCAGAGAGACAGACCAATAGGAGAGCTATGTGCCTCTACATATCCTTCCCTCTCTAGCTACTCAGAGATTGAGTTAGTGTGAGGATTTGGCTCATGTGATTATGGCTACTGACAAAGCCCAAATGCAGAGGGCCAGTGGAACGGCTGGAAATTCAGGTGAGTTAATGTTGCAGTCTTTTTTGTTAAGATTTATTTATGTTTGAGAGACAAAGTTAGAGAGAGAGGGAGAGGTCTCCCATCCACTGGTTCACTCCCCAGATGGCCAAAATGGCCACCGCTGGGCAGATCCAAACCCAGGGGCCAGGAGCTTCTTCTGGGTCTCCCAATCATGTGTGGAGCCCCAAGCACTTGGATCATCTTCTACTGCTTTCCCAGGCCACCAGCAGGGAGCTGGATTGCAAGTGGAGCAGCTGGGATTCCAGCTGGCACCCATATGGGATCCCAGCACTGCAGGAAGAGGCTAAGCCTACCGCAGCATTGCGCCTGCCCCCATGTCTTCAGTGCCAGGTCTGCAGGCAGGCCGGCAGGTGGGAAGCACAGCAGGGGTCTATCTGGCAGCCTTGGTCCCAGTTGCTTCCCCCTTCAGAGCCTGTCTTGTTCTGGGAGCCCTCACCTGACCAGAAGCCCATCCATGTTATGCAGCGTACCGTCCTTTCCTGAAAATCAGTGCCTTGTCAATGCTCATCAGATCCTCCACCGCAGAGTCTGGACCGGGCTGGATGCCGGGCCTCCTGGCCTAGCTGAGGTGCCCATCAACATGAACCATCACAGCCGGGCAGCAGTACGGCCAGGGACGAAGTCATCTCCCAAACCTAAGCTTTGGCCAATAACCGTCTGGGTTCAGTCATGTCCACTTGCGCTGTTCCCCACTTCAGAAGGAGCGGCACATGACGAGGGCAGGGAAGTCAGACTGACTGCACGCGTAACCCTCCCTGCCAATGGGGGACATGGCTAGGCCTCGTCGGCCTCGATGCCTCTGGAAGGGTGGTGAGAGTGGGTGGAGACGGTCGTGCTGGGCATAGAGATAGGACGGGGAAATGGTTCACTTCCCACGACTGATGGGCGGAGGGAAACGAGGCATTAAAATGGGGTCAGTCAGGCGGGAGTGAGGTGTCTCAGGTCTCAAGCGTTTCTCCGCGAAACAGCATGGGTAGAATCCTTGGCTTTCGCTGAGTGGCCGCGGCAGGAATAAGGATCATCCCGAGAGTCTGTGACAAGTGGAGACTGCTTGGGAGGTAACTGGGCTAAGATCACGTTCCAAAGGTTTCACGCGAAAGTGTTGGTTTACGACAAGGATGGCCCATGGGATGTAACTGGGCCGAGTATTTGGAAACCTACATGGCAATGACAGAGATGGTAAGAGACCCTCTTTGGGGATGTATGAGTTTGTGTGCACGCATAGCCAGGTCACAGGACTCCATGGTTCCAATATTGCTGTTTCCTGCCCCGGCACCTGTTGATCACCACAGTTTGATGAAAAAACATTTCTGAGTTCCAGGACCCCCTCAGGAAAAGCAGTGCGTTCATGGTTCCCAGGTTTGCTGAAAGAAGAGAGTCTGGGCTGCTGATCTAAACTTTCAGTGGAGCTTTTGTATCTTGCTTTTTATTCAGTCATGCACAGTGTGTTCCCAGGAAGCACACCGAGAGAGGTCCTTCCTGCAGAATCCACTGGTGGGTTTTTGCTCTTAACATGCAGTGAGATTGAGTTGTTTGCTGTTGTGGTACGGTGCATTGAGATTTAGACATGCGGAGGTTTGTATAGGCACCACCAGAATCTGGATCCCAAACCGTCCCTTCAGCCCGAGCACTCCCTGGAGCTACCCTGAGCAGTGACAGCCACTTCCCCTTAATTTAGCTCGGGAAACGCGATCTCTCCCTCTTCACTGTAGCCTTGGTTTGGGGACTGGGCAGGACGTTGGCCTTTGCTCCGATTGGGGTGATTATGAATAGGGCTGCTTGGAGCGTTCACCCACAGGCTTTCGTGTGAACCCACGTGTTCCTTTCTCTAGGGTACACACCCTAGAGTGGGATTGCTGCCCAGAAGGTCTGGTTAGCTGGAAACAAAGTGTCAAACAGGATCTCCTTGTGGCTGTGCTGTTTCACTTGCCCACCAGCAGGGGGAGCATTCCTGTGGCTCAGCCTGTTGGCCAGCCCTTGCTCCTGGGAGTTCTTGCCATTTCAGCCATTCTGGGGGCAGCCAGGGGCTGTCTGAGCCAGGGGCTGTCTGATCATGGGTAGAGTTTGCCTTTTCCTGACGCTCAGTCACACGGAGCGTCGCTTCATGTGCTCCAGGTCTGTTTCTTCCCCATTTCTCACGGGCTTCTCTGTTTCCTTACCGTTGAGTTGGAAAATGCCTTCTAAATGTGTTCTAGATAACAGGCCTTTAGGAATCTGTGATTCACAAACATTTTCTCCTAATGTGTAGCTTCCCCTCTGGTTCTCCTAACACTCTGTCACATTCACAGCAACCTTGTAAAGGTTTAGTGATAAATTCCAATTTATCCTTTTTTTTCTATTATGGACATTGCTATAGGCATCATGTCCAAGGCTGGCCATTCCTCAAGCCTCAAAGACATTCTCCTAAGGTTTTTTCTTTTGTTAAATATTTGTTTATTCGTTTTATTTTATTTTTCTAACTTTTATTTAATGAATATAAATTTCCAAAATAGAGCTTATGGATTACAATGGCTTCCCCCCCATAACGTCCCTCCCACCCGCAACCCTCCCCTTTCCCACTCCCTCTCCCCTTCCATTCACATCAAGATTCATTTTCGATTCTCTTTATATACAGAAGATCGGTTTAGCATACATTAAGTAAAGATTGCAACAGTTTCCTCCCACACAGAAACATGAAGTGAAAAATACTGTTTGAGTACTAGTTATAGCATTAAATCTCAATGTACAGCACACTAAGGACAGAGATCCTACATGAGGAGTAAGTGCACAGTGACTCCTGTTGTTGACTTAACAAATTGACACTCTTGTTTATGGCATCAGTAATCACCCTAGGCTCTTGTCATGAGCTGCCAAGGCTATGGAAGCCCCCTGAGTTCACCGACTCTGATCATATTTAGACAAGGCCATGGTCAAAGTGGAAGTTCTCTCCTCCCTTCAGAGAAAGGTACCTCCTTCTTTGATGACCCGTTCTTTCCACTGGGATCTCACTCGTGGAGATCTTTCATTTAGGTTTTTTTTTTTTTTCACAGTGTCTTGGCTTTCCATGCCTGAAATACTCTCATGGGCTTTTCAGCCAGATCCGCATGCCTTAAGGGCTGATTCTGAGGCCAGAGTGCTGTTTAGGACATCTGCCATTCTATGGGTCTGCTGTGTATCTCACTTCCCATGTTGGATCGTTCTCTCCCTTTTTTATTCTATCAGTTAGTATTTCCAGACACTAATCTTGTTTATGTGATCCTTCTGACTCTTAGTCCTATCATTATGATCAGTTGTGAACAGAAATTGATCACTTGGATGGATCACTTTGATGGCATTGGTATATGCCACCTTGATGGGATTGAATTGGAATCCCCAAGTATGTTTCTAACTCTACCGTTTGAGGTAAGTCAGCTTGAGCATGTCCCAAATTGCACATCTCTACCCTCTCTTACTCCTTGTTTATTTGTTTTAAAGAGCTACAGTCAGAGAGAGGGAGACAGAGAGAGATCTTCCTTCCAGTGGTTCATACCCCAAATGGCTGTAATGCCCAGGGCTAGGCTAGGCCAAAGCCAGGAGCTTCATCCGGGTTTCCTAAGTGGATAGCACTTGGGCCATCTTCCCTTGCTTTCTCCCAGGTGCATTAACAAGGCTTAGGATCCTGAGGTGAGCAGATGGCGCCCATCTGGGATGCCAGCATTGCAAGCAACAGCTTTATGCACTGTGGCACCCATCTAGGTTGCCAACATTGCAAGCAACAGCTTTATGGACTGTGGCACCCATTTGGATGCCAGCATTGCAGGCAACAGCTTTATGGACTCTGGCACCTATTTGGGATTCCAGCATTGCAGGCCACTGCTTTATGCACTTGGCTCCCATCTGGGAAGGGAGCATTGCAGGCAACAGCTTTATGCTGTGGGCTGCACGTTTGGGATGCCAGCATTGCAGGCAACGCATTTATGCATTATACCACAAAGCTGGCCCCTCGTATGGTTTCTTCTAAAAATTCATTATCATACCTTTGACATTGAGATCTGGAACTCATTTTAGTCAACTGCATATTAATTATGTGGTTCTGGTTCAGTCTCTTGCATATGGTTGGTTATACAACACCATTTGGTGAAGACTTCCCTTTCTTTTTCTCCCAGCACCCTTCTTGTCCCAAACTCCCATGATTTTATTTGTGTGTGGGTGTGTGTATTCATACACTCTCTGTTTGGCCACTGAAACTTACAGCTACGCCATATCAAGTCAAATTGTCTTAAGAAAAGATTTATTTATTCATTTCAAGGTCAGAGTTACAGAGAGAGGAGAGACAGAGAGAACATGCATCTGCTGGTTCACTCTCCAGATGGCTGCAACAAGCAGGCTGGGCCAGGCCAGAGCCTTAACCAGGAGCTTCCTCTGCGTCTCCAACATGGGTGCCGTTTTCTGTTTTCCGCTGCTTTTCCAAAGCCATTAGCAGGGAGCTCAATAGGAAGTGGAGCAGCTGGGACATGATTCTGCACACACACAGCACGGGATGCCAGCATCCCAGGTGGCAGCTTTATTTGCTCTGCCGCGCCAACACGCCAAGACAGCTTTTTGATTACTGCAACCTCATGGCCAGCCCACAACATGATGTCTACTAGCACACTTTTCTGTTTCTAATTTGTAAGTCCATATGAATTGTGGAATTGGTTGCTATCTCTATACAAACTCCCTTAAGAGACTTTGATTGGCATCACCTTGATTCTTTCTTTTCTTTTTTCTTTTTGGACAGGCAGAGTTAGACAGTGAGAGAGAGAGAGACAAGAGAAAGGTCTTCCTTTTCCATTGGTTCACCCCCAAATGGCCACTATGGCCGGCACTGCGCCAATCCGAAGCCAGGAGCCAGGTGCTTCCTCCTGGTCTCCCATGCGGGTGCAGGGCCCCAAGCACCTGGGCCATCCTCCACCACCTTCCCGGGCCACAGAAGAGAGCTGCACTGGAAGAGGAGCAACCGGGACAGAATCCGGCACCCCAAGTGGGACTAGAACCAGGGGTGCCGGGGCTGCAGGTGGAGGAGTAGCAAAGTAAGCGCACCTTGATTCTACAGATCAGCTTGGAGGTCACTGACTATGTCCCCCCTGTTGATTGTTCCAGGGAAGGAGCACATTGTTTCTCTCCAGTAGAGGATCTTCTTTCTTTTTTCTTTTAAGGATTTATTTTATTTATTTGAAAGACACAGTTACAGAGAGAGAGAGGTCTTCCATCCGCTGGTTCATTCCCCAAATGGCGGCAACCACTGGAGCTGAGTTGATCCGAAGCCAGGAGCCTTCCCCGGGTTGCCCATGCGGGTGCACAGGCCCAAGGACTGTACTGCTTTCCCAGACCATAACAGAGAGCTTGATTGGAAGTGGAGCACCCAGGGCTCGAGCCGGCGCCCATATGGGATGCCAGTGCTGCAGGCTAGGGCTTTAACTCTCTGGGCCACAGCACCAGCCCCTGGGGGGTCTTCTTTCATTAGCCTTTTATACTTGGTAGCATACAGGTCCAGTATGTTCATTTTATCTGTAACTGTTTCATTGTGTGGGAGGGCTGTGATATATAGGGCTTTTTTAGCTTTACATTTCCAGGTCCTCGTCTGGTTTTCCATGTGCTGACTTGTCTCCTGTATCCGTCCTAAACGGGTCTCTTTGTTCCAGGGGATTTGAGGGTGATGGCTGGGGGCTCGTTGGCAGCAATCGTGAGATCTATGAGCAGGGGCACTTTGCTTTCTTACCGTCTCACTCGTATGCATGATGGCACCATCGAGGACCTCCCGCTTGCAGTGGAATAGCCACGGTGAGAGTGGACATCCTTGCCCGTCCTCAGCCTTAGGGAGAAAGCACTCACTCTTTGCCCACTTCCGGGATGTTATCTGTCTGTTTTTCTGTACACACGCTTAAAGAGGTTCTGAAGTTGTCTTCTAACCCCACAGTGGTAGAGCTTTTGTTCATCGTGCATTTTGAGTCTTATCAAGTGGATTTTCTGTGGATCTTGAACCGTCCTGTCCTCTTCTTCATCTCTCAGTCTGTGCATTCTGTTGATTGATCTTCCGTTGTTGAAAGAGCAGCCCTTGCATTCCAGGAGTGACACCCACTTCTTTCTGGGCCTTTTCCTATACTGATGGAACAAACTACTAGTCTCTTTTTGAAGAATCCTGTGCTAAGGTCGGTGGAAATACTAAGTTCCACTTTTCTTGGTATCAGGGTAATGGTACCCATACGGAATCATTAGGGAGTGCTCCCTCTGCTTTGTCTTGGTGCAGAAATCATGTATGGAATTGGTGTTCTTTCTTCATATGCTGTCTGGCAGAAATTCCAGGAGGGGGGTCTAGGCTCTCAGATCTTTTAGCAAAGGCTTTTAACTCACTCCCAAGTCACTTTTTGTAAAACTCATGGGCCTGGGTCTGGCACTGTGGCATAGTGGGTAAAGCCGCTGCCTTCAATGCCGGCTTCTGATATGGGCGCCAGTTCGAGTCCTGGCTACTCCATTTCCTATCCAGCTCCCTGCCATAGCCTAGGAAAGCAATGGAAGGTGGCCCAAGTCCATGGGCCTCTGCACCCTCATGGGAGACCCAGAAGAAGCTCCTGGCTCCTGCCTTCAGATAGGCCCAGCTCCTGTAGTTGCAGCCACTTGAAGAGTGAACCAGCAGGTGGAAGACCTCTCTCTCTCTCTACCTCTCTCTGCCTCTCGCCCTCCATATCTCCCTGTCCTCTCTGTAAATCTTCCTCTCAAATAAATAAAAAAATACTAAAAAAATATCAGTATTTAGAAAAAAAGACATGGGCCTGTGAACACTGTCTCGTCTTGGGTCAGTTTGGGTAGCTGACACGTCTCAAGTCATTGGGAACCTGGTCCTTCTCTGTTGTTTTCCCTGCTAGTCGTGAACAGCTGTATCAGTTATGTTGATCATTTAAAGAACCAGCTTTTAGCTTGATTGGGATTCTCTATTTTTTCTCATTGTAATCTCTTCATTTTTACTCCTGTTTCCATTAAAGAAAATGCTCACTTATACACTATGGCAGTTTGGAGGTCATTCGCCCAGGCACACCAACCTTTTTGACGAGATGCAAAGCCAAGAGCGCTGAGGGTGGAAATGTTCAAGGCTGCTTGTGTCCTGGACACAAATGCTGAGTGCGTAGTGAAAGTCGGCTTTCTGTAAGTGTGTGAGTGTGGACGACAAGAACACATTCCTCACCCAGTAATCTTAAGATTACGCTGCAGAATGGGTGGGGAAAATCAGCAAGGAATTAACGTCAATGACTGCGTCATTTTGTGCGGCTGGACACGTGGATACGGTAATTGCTGTCACTTCGAAAACCTTTATTGGGTGCCGTAGCACTCTAAGCTCCCGAGGAGCAGGATTCCTGTCGTGCTCAGAAGCAGCCAGGGAGTGGGTGTCGTTATGCCCACTTTCCGCACAGGAAGTGCACGGGCAGCAGCCTCCCATGAGATGTGTAATGGTGGTTTTCTTTCTCCTTTTGCTACCCTTTGCTGCAGCCCTGCCTCTTCTGGCCACACATCTGCCCTGCTACCTTCCAGCTGTTTGAGAACCTACAGCCTGACCTCCCTGTCTACACTCGCGGGCTGGGTGGAGCTCCAGCTTGGACTCAACCTCCATGGATCCACTCCAGAATTGGAGTCCAGGGTTTGCTGCTGACGCCTCCCCGATGGCCATGGCAGAGACTTCCGCGGACAGCAGAGCCGCCTCTCAGCCGCCCTCCGCAGAGCAGCTCGTGTGGGGCCTGGGGAACATGAACCCCGGTGCCGGCCCTGATCTGCCTGTGCCGCCGCCGGCGGGGCTGCCGCAGCAGCAGTACAGGGAAGCGAAAACCCAGCAGAGGTGGTACGAAAGGCTGCCGCCCCCACAGGGCAAGAAGGAGCTCCTGGGGCACATAAGACGGAGGCACCGCGACCACAGGGCACCTTATCCGGCCTCACAGGAAGCCAAACTCTCTCCCTCGGGTGACAGACCTCAGAATCGGTTCCACTGTGAATGTCGCTACTGCCAGAGCAATGGGCCGAATACGTCCGGGTTATCTGGGGAGAGGGGTGGGGCCTCGTGGGAGACCCTAGTGCAGGGCCTCAGTGGCTTGAGCCTCAGCCTGGGGACCAGCCAGCCTGGCTTTCTGCCTGAGGGGTCCCTGCAGCAGCAGCAGCAGCAGCAGCGGCAGCAGGAGGAGGAGGAGCGAGAGGAGAAGTGCCAGGCCGAGAGGCAGCAGGAAAGCAAGAGGATGTTCCAGAGGCTGCTGAAACAGTGGCTAGATGAGAAATGAGCCGCTCATCCTCACGGGACGGGAACCTGAAAGGGTCCAGACATAGAAGCTGTCCTGCCAGTCCTGGGTATGGGTCCTCCTTGGGGACCAAGCAAGGGGCCACAGTGGGAGGGGACCAAGACCTGTGTTGTGTGTGGAAACCCTGAGAGATCCAGTCCCGGGAAGGGCCTACTCTGCCCTGCCTGTCACGTGTGGAGCAGGTGGAGGCATTCCGTGCAAGAGGCACTGCATGCCAGTGGTCTGACCTCATCCGCTGCGGCCCCCGTGATGTGTGTGTCCCTTTTCCACTCCGGATCTCCGTCTTCCCTCCCGCCTTGTCAGATAGAAGCTGTGCGTGTAGAGTGAACCCCTCGTTGATGTCCTTGTGCCCTGTGCCGTGTTATCCACTTCCCCGAGAAGCAGCACTAGGTGTGTTGACGTGCACCATGCTGCACTGGGATCCGGGATCAGGAATCTGACACTAAACAAGGAGTGGGGAAGGGGCGTGAAATTGGAACTTGGTGGTTCCCTGTTGTATTTCTGCGTGTGCACTTTTATGATGACGACATGCTAAATGTATCCAAACCATTTCCTGCTCCTTAACCATCCAATAGCATTCTCCCTCACTGCAGTTCCTTTCTGGGTATCTCACTGTCAATACTGAATAAATAGAACGCAGGCTTCTTTGTCAACCCCGGCTGTGTCTTCTTAGATCTGAGCTCACCACCTTTCATTCCCACCTGTACATCAGAGTGTGTCAGGAGGAGCTCCGCATGGTGGGTTGTGGAACTGGGAGGAGGGCAGGCGCCAGCAAACCCCTCAAGTCCCGGTCTGCGGCCACGAGATGAGACCAGCGGCCACGGCAGCGAGGCAGTGCCACTGGCAGTGAGTGCTCCTGCTGCAGGGGAGTTGCACGCAGAGAGCACGCCCCCAGGAGGAGGGGCTGCGGGCTGGGGCTGCTGGTCTGGCTGAGGCCCACGGGCATCTCCATGGTGAAGGTGAGCACGGTGGGTGTCCTGCCTGCTACTGGAGCAGCAGAGCATCCTCGTGTCATTTCAGGGTCCTGTTGGGCTTTGGACTCGGGTGTTTGTATTGCAGGAGGTGGGATGACCTCTCCCTTTTCTTCCCCTACAGAGTCCTGTCATGTGTCCCCACCGAATGAACACGGGATTCCTCCGAACTGAAAACCAATTCCACTTGGTGTCAGTCTGTGTTTTTAGGTAGGCCCCGAGCTGCATGGCTGCAGACGTTTACGCCTCAAGCCAACACAAGGGACTGGAGAACAGGTGAGTTCCTGAGATGCTGACCTTGGGCTCTCATCTGAGAGCTTGAGTGTTAAATTCCCCTGTCCATCAGGGTTTTCCCTCCTAAACCTCCAAGGTTCAATGCAAGCTGGCTACCTGGCAGTGCTCAGCAGGGCTGCCATGGCTTCTGCCTTCTCTGCCTTTTCCCTGGACCTGCCGATCCTCCTGGGCTCTGCAGTTCCTCCCGTGAGCTCCTTTCATCCTCTCATGCATGCACCACTTAGGCTCATTTCAGTCCCTGTGCATGAATTTGGAAAGCAGGGGACAGAGCAGTGAGGGAATTTGCCCCTGGTTTCACGGGTGGAGCAGGTCCAGAGAGGCGGAAGTGGCACGCCAGCTGGGGCAGGCCAGCTTCAGAGCCGGCTCTGTGCAGCAGCTCGCTCTGCAAGGGCTGGTGGTGAAGGGCGGAGAGCCAGTCACTTCGGAGCACGTGTCGTGGCTGGAAGCACCAGGTCTTGGGAGGATGCCACAACCCAAGGGGAGAGGGGCAGGGATACTGGTTCCCATGTCACTCTGTGTGCAGGTCGGACGTGGAGGCCACAGACACGGGCCTTTGTCTGAGACCAGACACCTCCCTGCTCTCTGCACCCAGCAGCTCAGGGCAGCGGCCACAGCAGGTCCACGGTGCTGGCTGCAGTCTGTTATTGAGCCAGGCCCCGAGGTACCCATTTTCTCCCCTGGCGTCCCCCATTCGCTGCTCTGCTGCCTTTTGGTGGGGAAGTGCAGAAGCCTTGCAGAGCTGGTCCCTACCCTCGTGATGGCTCCTTTAACCAGGGAGAGAGGTGAGGCACCTATCTTAGACTGTTGTGTGCTGCTCTGGCAAGCTACCACTGACTGGGTGATTTACAAAGAAGGAAATCTGTGTCTCACTCGGCTGCATCCTGGGCTGTGTGAAATGAAGGCACCCATATGTGGTGTCTGTTGAGGGCCCTCTTGCTGTGTTCACTCGTGTTGGATGGCAGAAAGCGAAGCAAGGATGCATGTTTTGTCCTCTCGTGGCAGAAGATGGAAGGAGAGTGCAACGCACTCCTGCAGGCCCTTTGGTTAGGGGTGTTAATTCATCCACGAGTGCAGAACCCCCATTAAATATGCACTTCCCATGAGGCTACACCTCCCAGTGCTGCTGCCCTGCAGGTTAAGTTTCTGTTTGAGTTGGATGGGAGCAAGATGCTGAGACCATAGCAGACACTCATGCTTTGGTTAGACAACCTACAAGGGATCCCCGGCATGGCATGTATTGCCCAGGAGTGAAAAGTAGCAGGGTTAGAGGAAGTATACCTGGGGAGAGGGGTCTTGCCCAGAGAGGCCAGAGCTGCACTTAGAACCGAGGTCTGCCAGCAAATGCATGGAGAAAGTCTGGACAGGAGTCGTGGATGGGGACAGAATCCCCTCTGTATCCCCACCTCCAAGTTTCTACTACCGTGCCCACGCATGGGGTGTGTGTGTGTGTGTGTGTGAAGGGCTGCAGGGAACCTGGCAGTGATGCCTGAAACATCATAGTGTCCTGAGTTTCAGACGCGGAGCTGTAATCCCGTCATGTCCACAGATGCCCAGCATGCCCTTTCTAGCCAGGACCTCAAACCAAATGCAGCAGCAGACAAGGAAGTGTTGGGACAGTGTGGGGTCATTTGAGCAGACCTAGAGTAAGGGAGGAAATTGAGAGCATCTATTTTAAAATCTTCCCTCGGGTGACAGCCCAGACCCAGTTTCCTTTGTGGGTAAAGTCAGTCCACGTTCGTAGAAGAAATAATACGAGACCTTCCCCAACTATTTTGGGACGTGCAAGAAAGGGAACACGTGCCATCGTGTAGGGTGACAATAGTGCTACACGACCACTAAAGCCAAATACACACGTCACAGTAATAGTGTAAGCCAAAGCAGATGATGAATAGCGATGCCAACACCACCCACAATGTATTGGCAAACCAGATCCAGCATCGTACACATATGACCATCCAATGTGACCAAGTGAGACTGATCCTAGGACTGCAAGGTTAATTTCACCTTCAAAATTCAATGGCAGTAATTCAACATGTTAATAAAACAGAGAGTAGAATCACAGCACCATATTAATAGGCAAAGAAAAAGCATTACACAAATGCAAGACCCATTCATGATGAAACAGAACCTAGTTTCTTAAGTTTGTGCTGCAGTAGGCTAAGAGGCTGCTTGCAATGCAGCCATCCCATATTGAACACCGGATCAAGATCTGGCTACACCATTTGCAACACAGCCTCCTGCTAAGATGCCTGGGAATGCAGCGCATAATGGCCCAAGTGTGTGGGTCCCTGCCTCCCATGTGGGAGACCAGGATGATGAAGTTTCTGGTTCCTGGCCTTGGGCTTACCCAGGCCAGCTGTCAAGCTATTTGAGGACTGAACCACTTGGAAAATTCCATCTCTCTCTCTCTCCCACTCCCACTCCCTCTCTCTAACAGGCATTTATGAGAAACCCCCAGATCATATCCTATTTGCTAGTGAAAGAATGAAAGCTTTCCACTTCAGATCCTGAGCAGGGGAATGGCATCTCCTCGTACCACATCTACCCTATGTCCCACTGCCGTCTCTAGCCAGTGCAGTCCTGTAACAGAAACTAATGGAAACGTGGGGAAATTGAAGGAAGGCGTATGTCCACACTAGTCACATGCTCAGATGTTCCTTGCCATGTTCATGGCGGGCGCAGACTAGAAACTACACGTCTGCCAGTCAGCACAGGAGTGAACTAAAGGTGTTATCTCCATAGGCAGAATATTCCAGAACGCTAAACAGAGCCTTCCTACTCATACCTGCCACAGAAGGGACAGAACCAGACACAGGAGGCACATATTGCAGGAGGCACTTTGGAGGAAAAGTACAGGAGGGCAAATCTACAGAGATGGGGAAGACCTCAGTAGTTGCCTGGGCTTCCAGGTGTCGTGGGGAGGGAGCACTGGCAGGAGCAAGGGGTCCTCAGGCGGGTGATGGAACTGGTGTTACACTGCTCTGTGCTGGTGGCTGCATCACTGCAGATTGTCTCAGTCACTGCGCTGTATCCTTAGTTGCATGAATACTATCGTGTGGTGATTGTACTTCCATAGAGCTCTTTTTATAATGTAATGCCTATGTGCACATAAGTCAGGGTTGGAGGCTATGGGATCGTTTTGTACCACAGTAAGGAATCTCCCCCTCTCTTTGCGGGTTCTGGGTCCTGCATCGTCCATGTGTTTGACGCTCCAGCCAGACACGGCCACTGTGCACCTCTGGGCAGAAGGCGTGCTGGTGAGTGCAGTCTCCATGTGTGTCTGTATGCATGCCCAGTCGAGAGTCTCCACCCATCAGTATTGGCTCACCATTCTGGTCCACGGGCAGGCTCCGGGACTCCATCCTGCATACTCTATCCCAGTGCATGCTTGGCTGTTCATGAGTCTCAAGGGCCAGGCTTCAGTTTCCCTGGAAACCAGCCTCAGCCCTGAGCTTCATCAGAATGGGGAGGGCTGTCTTCTCACCCCAGAGGACCCTGGCCTGAGCTCAGCCAGCTAGCAGCAAGGAACAGCAGAGTGGTTACCAAGACAACGGGGTTCCAGATCCTTCCACCCCAGGAGGCCTTCTCTCTCCCATGGGGCCTACCTGGGTATCCAGTAGGAAAGGGGCAGTCGTGGCCTGAACACAGCCGAGTCCTGGAAATGATTCAAATACGACTGCAGGAGATAAGCAAGGCAAAGGCAGCTCGCGAAAGAGAGGTACCTCATACAAAACTTCCAAAATGCTAAACAGCAGACAGCTAAAACTGCAAGATGATATTTTAAAGCAACACAGGTACCGTGCTCCTGTGCGTATGTGTCTAAACCAGCCTGTGTGCACATCTGCCCTGGGGTGATTCTAAAGGACAGATACAGGGGTGCCCTCCCCACAGATTGGGGGCCAGGACTTGGCAACTCCGCCAGGCCATGCCTAGGCCTCGGCTGTGGACATGGACCTGCCCTGTTAGGACGCTGCTCCTGGAACATAAAAGCAGGGCTTTGTCATTGTGCTGGTGTGCTTTAGATCCTGCAGATAAAGTGTTGATGGTAGAAGCTCGCACTTGCTGATGAAACATAGCGCGTTTATTTCTTGTGACGGCCTGGTACTGGAGTTATTTGCAAAGGTACTGAATTAATTCTTTGATACATTCCTGAGACTGAGCAAAATAGTCTCGTGAAAACGAAATGTGGCTCAGGGGTCATGTCGGCCAGTGTTGGTGAATCAGCTCTTGGTGCGTTGTCGTGTTGCATTTCTTCCCTTCTGATTTGTGCAATCGATTGAACTTGTGTGCCGAGAGACAAGGCTACCTAGCACCAGGAGACCGGGGTGAAAACTAACGTTCAGCACGCCCTTGTTTTCTGCACCTCCAAGGGGATGCACCTTTTGTCCTGAGCTGCTGTATCAGAATTGGAACCTCCTGCTTCTCCAGGTACATGCTCCGCACACTGTTCATAGAGGATATGAAGGTGCAGCCTCCTCAGGTCCAGGTCCTCTCATCCCAATTCATGGTGGGGGCCACCAAACCCAGGACCTCTGTTCAGGACGCATCTGGGAGTTTCTGCCTGGGATGAAGCCCTCACAAGAGACTTTCCACAGCCCTCAGGCTATGTGACACTGTGACTGGCCTCTTCCAGAGAATTCCAGGGCATTCATGGAGTGCTAAGGGCAACCGTAGGAGTTTCAGGAATTGTGTGGGTGTCAGCACCACCCATGTCAGAAGGGACTCCGCTTTAGGGTCACCTGGTTACTTGAAGGCCTGTGGAATATGTGGGTGCAGATGCACATAAGATACCTAGCCCGTTGGGGCGTGGGGCTCAGCTGAGATTACCCCCGGAGAGTGGGTGGTCAGAGAACCCGTCGGCATACAAGGCAGAAGGGTGAACTCAGGTCCTCTTGGTAAAAGGCCTGGGTGGTGCAGTGACCACCCAGGATCGGGAACAGGGTGAGGTTAGCCCAGGGCAAGGTTGGAAGCAAGAAGGAACCGAGATTGTAGACGGGAGCAAAGGAAAGTGACCAACGTGGAGACTGCAGAGGCATCGCTCAGAGGGGGAGTAGGGGGGCCAGGGACTGGCTGCCACAGACCGTGAGAAAGGTGAGGGCCTTGGAACGGGGTGTTGTCCATGTCCCGGGCAGCAAAGGGCACGTGGCTTCGGCAACGTGAATCTGCTTGGACATTTGAGCTGGGGAATGCTCCATGCAGGCGGGATGGGCTGGCGACTTTGAGCAGGCAGGGGAGGGTAGCACAGCAGTTTGGTCTCGCACGCTGCACTGGCAGGAACCCTGGCTGGACAGGTGTCACACAGACAGTGTGGTAGAAGCAGAGGGCGTGGACTCTCCACGCTGTGCCATCTCCTGTTCTGCTAAGTAACGGATGCACGTGCCAGCATTCCGAATTGATCCAGAGCAGACAGGGAGCTGGGAGGACCCTCACTGTGTTTCTCCCAAGGGGAGGTAGGCATAGTGGAGACTTTAGGCCGCGATGGAGTGGCAGGAAGGCTTGTGGCATCTCTGGGGTCCTCATTCCTGTCTCTGACATGCAGTGGTGTGGGTTGGGGGACGCCACATCTCCCACAGAAAAGAGCTACATGAGCAGTGTCAGGAGATCCCAGGGCCCACCTACCTCAGAACAGAGTGCAAAGCTGCAGGAGAGGAGGGAAGGTGTGGTAGTGGGGTGTAGCATCCTGTTGTGGAGCACACACAAGCTCGTGATGAGCACAGTGCATGTGGGGGCTGGTGCTCCAGCGTGAGGCTGGATCCTGACGCCTGCTGCTCTGGGCTCCTCTCCAGATGGAATGTCTGGCCCTGAGGATTCTCTGTCCAGGAGGATAGAGCAGAGGGAGGGATCAGAAGCTGGAAGTCGGTTTCCTCTTCTGTGGCCCTGGCCAGTCCGAGTTGCAAGTCTCAGGAAAAGGAAGCCTGGGCCATGAGCTGGGCCTGCATGTGTCCTGCCTGGTGGCAAGGAGGCCCAGCTATTAAGCCCTCAGGGCAGGCACGGAGAGGCTGAGCCATAAACCAGCGATCAGAACTCCCTTGTGAATGTGGACTCTGCTGAGCTCCTATATCAGACCCTCAGCGGGCCAGAAGGGGTGTCAGGGCCCCAGGGCGCAGGTGGGCCTAGGGAGGCCAGAGACCTGGGCACATCTGGAGGTCCAAGGAAACTTGGGCTTTCTGCGTTTTCTCCAGGTGCCCTCTTCTGCTCTGGAAACACTGCCTGCGGCGGCCTGGCGGCTGAGACCCTGGCAGTGCGGTCTGTGTGGTTAAGCCTCGCCTGGGGAGGCGGTGACTGGCCCCAGCAGGCTGTGTCCACCTCAGTGGAAACCCTCATCCCTGCCTCCCCTCGGCCTGTCTCTGCCAGTCTGTGCTGTGTCTTCAAAGCCCCACCCCGAGGGAATGAAACAGCGCCTGGTTAAAGAGAACAAGAGGCAAGGAGGCTTCGTTCCTCCCCGGGGGCAGAGACTGAGAAAAGGGGGGCAGAGGAGGAGCCGCTGTTGAGGGAGCGCAGAGACCACAGATGCACTGGGGCCTCTGGGTGTGAGCAGCTCAGGGAATTCCCGCCAGATGCCTCCCTCTCCAGGAATCATCAGGGAGGTGGTGGAGGGGAGCAGGGCGACTGGCGAGTGTGCACTGTGGCCGTGGTGCGGGAAGCCACAAGCCAACCGCTCATGGTCACGGACGGAGACTAGACTATTCAGTCAGGCTCTCAGGTATCGGTCTGGGAGGTTCGGGCGGGCTGGCAGCGGGTGCGGAACTTGCCCCCTCAGGCCCTTTGGTCAGCAACTCGCAACCCCGCTGCAAGTCCCCCTTCAGGGAGAATTCTGTGACGCAGAGCGGAATGGACCTCAGCGGCCGCCTACGCTCAGGCCCGGAACCCGCCAATCCGCGTGTAGTCCGGTCGCCCCGGGGCGGGGCTTCGCTGTGGCGCTGCGGCTTCCGGCGGCCGTTGCCATGGTTCCCAGGGCGGAAGCCCGGAGGTCTCCGCGGAGACCCAGGGCTTTGGGGCTGATGCCTTTTGGTCCGTGCCAGTGCCTCGTCCTCTTTTCGATTTCGTCGCGATCGGCTGCACCGTGCAGGACCTCCAGGCCTCTAGGAGAGCGGCTGTGGAAGAGACGGGTTTCTGTGCTGTTGGCGGCTCTCAGTCTCCGTGGACGGCAGATGGCAGTGTGGGCTCGCGCAGCGCCTCGGCCCCGGTCTCCCCGCCCTTCGTGCTGGAAAAAAACGCGGCCGAGGTGGTTTTTAGGCCGCGGGATTTTCTGTGGGTTTTCTCCGCGGGAGACGGGGTGCAGAATTCACGCGCCCCGGTGTGCCACGTCCGCACCGCAGACTCCCTCTCTGGCAACAAAGCCACTCGCTTTGTTTCTGGACTTTGAAAAATTACTTACGCTCTCTTCCTTAAAATGGTGTTGATTAACTTCTCCTTTGTTTCCAACTTCCAGCGGGTGAGTGGGCCTGGGTTCCCTTTGAACTTGGCTTTCCTGCAAAGTCGTCTTCCTCCTTCTCAGATTGATTGGGGGCGGCGCCTCGGCGAGCGCGTCTGTCCTTCGTGCAGTCCCTGGGCTCCCTGTAGCAACGCAGAGACCACTGAGAGTTAGGAAAGCCCGTCCCACCCACGCTGCCATCGCCTTTGATTCTGCATTTGTGGCACTTCCCTCACAGGTCTTTCATCCCTGAGGGAGCATTTGAAACCTAGTAGGCTCCTGTTCTCCTCTTGACCCCTCTGTTTAAAGCTCGGCTTCCCTGCCAGAAAAATCCTCCTTCTATTCAGTCCTTTTCGTCGAAAATGATTTCCACGACGTCGAGAGTTTCTGTAACGAATCCGAAATACACTTCCTCCTTATCCGAGACCACTGTGCTGTCTTTGGAGCGCGGGAGCTGTGACCCGTGTTCCTTTCCCAGCCTAATCCCGAGCACCCAGCGCCCAGGGGACCTAGGACGCAGTGGGGGCCGGGTAGACGCCCTGAAACAAGGTTGAGCTCCCATTTCCGCCTGTGCTGCCTAAAATATGTAAGGTCAGTCTTTCCACGGCCCTGGATTACAGGGTAGCCAGGGTGTTCAGAGGGTCCTTTATCCTTGGGCGTGAGGGGCTCAGCCTTTGCCTGTGTCACTAAGTGTTCTGTGAAATCCATTGCGGGCAGCAGATCAGCTCACTCACTGAAGCTCCTTGGGCCATGGCTTCCAGACTCAGGCCAGAGCCCAGAGTCTGCAGGTTCAACACCTTTTGGTTTTCATCCATAAAACCTCACCGAGGTTTAGGGGATGAAAGGAAGCGAACATTTCCTTGGTAGCTGGTGTGGATCTCCTTTGTGTCCCAAAGGACACTCAGCGTATCATTGGCTGATAGGACACTGCCCTCGCTGAACTCAGTGCACGGAGCTGAGATTCTGGGCGGGGCTTTGGGATTAGTGGTTACACTCAGCTGAGTACCCGTGTGTCCCATGTCAGAGCGCCTTGCTTGGACCCTGGCTCTGCTCCTGATTCCAGCTTCCTGCCAACGTCCTCCCGAAGAGGCAGGTGAAGGCTCAAGTGGTCGGTTCCCTGCCATCCCTGTGGGAAACCCGTATGGAGTGTGGGGCGCAAGGCATCGGCCTGGTCCTATGCTGTCTATTGTGGGCATCTGGGGAGTGCTGCCGAGGACGGGAGCTGTCCTTCTGCCTCCCCGGTAACTCAGTTAACAGAGACTGTGCAAGGCATGTGATGGTTATTGGGTGCAGGGGTGAAAGCTGCAGTGAACCTTAGTTCCCTGAGGTGATTCAGGTCATGTAATGATGTGTGGGGAGTGTGAGGAAAAATGACCTGAGGAGCTGCTGAAACAGCTTCCTTACTGGAAAGGCGTCTGGGTGGGGGAGCAGGTGTTCAGGGGGCTCCTGCCGCAGGCTCTCCTGGAGGCCTGGTGATATCAGAATATGGGGTGCCATACCATAGCACCGTGTGCTTATTAACAAATTCCCAGTATTAGTACGTCTGTGTGGGTTCTTGCCTAATAATCAGAGAAGAATTCTGAATACTGGCACAAATGAACGAGGCAGCATGATACGTTTTTAAGCTTTTATTCAGTGAGAAAGATGCAGAGGAGAGCGAGGGCCCTATGTAAAAGAGAAGTCTGGGTTCATACCAAGCACCAAGGGCCAACCACGTGGAGGAGCATCTAGGCCAGGAAGCATGGGGCAGGTGGCCCCAAGGCCATGCGTCCTGGAGGCCCAGGGAGCAAGGGCCCCACTGGCAAAATGCTGAAAAGGGAAGGGCGAGAAAATGAGGAGCCCACCATGTCCCAGGCCTTTAATCCACTTTCAAAGCAGAGTGGTTAGTTAACCTGACTGGCGGGTGGGTGCCCAGGTGTGGTCAGGTAGAGGCATGAGGTCACACGGGGCGTGGTAAGGCATAGTCTTCCAGCTCACAAACCTGATCAATTTTATCCTGTATGCCTGCTACCTCACTGGGACCAGGGCTCCAGAGACGGTCCCTCCCAGTTGCAGCTCTGCCAGCCTTGCCCCTCATCCCCAGTTGCTGTGGGCCCGCGCACCTGCCATTGGTCCTCGGGGCAGGATAGCAGCATGCAGGGCAGTGGGCTGTGACAGGCCTGGGGTCCAGGCTGCAGATGCAGCCTCCTTTTCTGAGAAACTGAGATTCTCCTTTTAAATTTTTTTTTTTTTTTCATTTTAAACGCTACAACAGCCCAGGTTGAGCCAGGACAATGCCAGGAGCCTGCAGCTCCCACCAGGTGTCCCAGCTGGGTGGCAGGGTCCAAGTCTTGGTGAGATGTTGCACCTGCTTCCCAGGTGCCTTAGCAGGAAGCTGATGGGAAGAAGAGCAGCCCGGGCTGCACCCAGCTCTCTGAAGCACTGAACCTGCTGTGCCACAGCTACAGCTGCTGTGCAGAAATTAAAAAACAAAAGTGTGTTTATTGGTATTTGAAAGCTGATGTATTGAGAGACTTTGCATCTGCAGGCCCATCCCTAAGCAGTTACACCACAGCAGGGAACATCAGGAAAGTGAAAGGGACAGAGCTCTTGGCCACAGGAGCGTTTCCTTTTTAAAGAAGTTCTCTTTGAGATGCGGGCCACGGGTTATCTCTGTTCCCCAAGTTCCCTACTGAATCACTTTTGTAAAAATTTACTTTTTAGGGACTACCAATTTCCTAAGTAGGGCTTTAGGAACATAGTTATTATTCCCACCAGACCTGCCCTCCCACCCCTGCTCCTCTTCCCTCTCCCCTTCCCAGGCCCATTCTCCATTAAGATTCATTTTCTATTAATTTTGTACACAGAAGACCAACTCTATACTAGGCAAAGATTCCAGCAGCTTGCTGAATCATTTTCGACCCGAATACACTCCGCACTGCTTTAGGAAGAGAAGCGAAAACGAACCGTTTGCATCTTTTTCAAATGGTTTGTAGGAAAGGCTGAATACCCCTGGGTGTTTTTAAAAGGAGTTAAAGCAGACACCGCACAGGTGACTCAGTACCCGCTACTGTAGGCTGAGAAACCTCGCAGGAAATAAACGCAAAATGTAACAGTGCCGCTGGGGGCACGGGCCAGGCAGAGATGGCTTTCTGCACAGAACCTGGCTCTCTGGCTGTCTGAGGGGGCGGGTCAGGAAGCAGCACCAAGGCTGAATAGATGCAAATGGGTCCCTGAACCCCAGGATGACCTGCAGCACGGAAAGACCGGAGCTGTGGGGGAGCCGAGAGTGCGCGCTGCTCAGGTGCCCGGGCCTCGCCACAGGAAAACGCGGGTTACAGAGCGGAGAACCCGCACGTGTGCTCGCACTGGTGCAGTCTTGCTGGGATGCCCCAGGAGGCTGTCTACCCTCACCCAGTCACTGGCGGACTGGAAGGAGGACGCCCTGAACGCCTGTGCGGCGAGGCTGCTGCGCACTTTTTTGAACCACGAAGGGCGGGGTGAGAGGGGGCTGGATCGCTGCTGCGGCGCCACACCGCCATCTAGCGGCCAGAGAAACTAACTGCGGCCTGCGGGTGCCCAGCCACAGCCACCTTCGCCGCCATTTTCTAACCGAGGCTAAGGGGTTCTGGACAGGGACGCTGAGCAGGGACGAAGGACAACAAAAGGCCCCGAAAACCCGTCCCCGACGCGGAAGTAGACCCGAGCCTGCCTCCGTAGCAAAAGGCAGTTGAAAGTGGCTGCCTCGCGGGAGGTCCCGGCCCCTGGGAGCAGACCACCACCACACTGTGGGGTTCCGCGTCTGTGCGTGGACAGCCAGGGCGCCCAGGGTCCGTCTTCCTCCCCAAGGGGCCCTGCAGGCTCCCTGGGCCGGCTACTGCGAGCTGGGCGCCCGGGGAAGGGAGGAGGATGCCCGGGACCGGCTGCTGCACCGCCCCAGCCGCACCACGCTGCAGCCCCGTACCCGGAAGTCTTCCGGGAGTTTGCTCTCTGTCCCTGGCCCTTAGAGGCTGCTCCAGCCCTCCTGGGAGCCCCTCTCCGCTTCCCTGCCACAGCTTCCTTCCCTGAGCTGTCCCACGGAGCGCGTCCATCCCTGCCTGGCCTGGGCTCCTCCCCTCTGCTGTGAGGCTGCAACAGAGCCTCTTGGCCTGGTCTTTCCTATGGACGAAGATGAGCCATACTAGGTCCCCTGCAAAGACACACGCTGGAATGTGCAGTTTGTCGGGACGTGCAGAGTATTCTGTGTGTGAATGTGTGAAAGAGAAATGAGAAAAGCTGGAATGCGCAGATGCACAAGGTGCCCACGACGTAGACTCAGCCGTGCGAGGGAACTACCCGTCGTGACGGGCCGTGGGCCAGGCCTAGTGGCCCTGTGACCGCGGGTTCCCTGCCCTGCTGGGCTGACTCTATTACAGGGAGGGGAAACCCCTGGTCTCAGGGGCTGAAGCAGTTTGCATTCTGGACAACATAGCAGGAGCCCGTTTGCAGGATACCCCAGAACAGGGGGTCGACGGGGTTGGGTCCCACCGGGCTGCCTCCTTTGCCAGGAATCCTAGAGGAGGAGACTTGAGGGGAACTGGGGAGCTGGCTAGTGTGCACTATGGCAACAGTGCGGGTTGCACGAGGGGGAAACGACAGGCCATCCTCTCCTGGTTATGGACGGAGACCAAATAACTAAGTCAGGCTTTCAATTTCGCTGCGCGCCGCCAGGGCGCTCTGACAGCAGGTGCGGACAGCACAGGTCACATCCAGTCGCCCGCAGCCCATATTCTACTGGGACGAATCCACCAGGGCGGAAGACTGGCATTGCCCGCATTCCGCGCAAATGCACGGGCGTGGACCCCAACAACTCTCCAGTAGTTTAGTAGGCGCTGGTCCAGCCCTTCCGGAGACGCGGGAACTTTCTGCTTCTCCTGTGTTGCTTCCGGGGGAGGCATTAAGTGCTGTCTTCCACGTCGGACCCAGGTCTTGGGAACCACGTTGGCCAGTGAGAGTTTGCGATCTGTTTTATCTCTCCCTTGGCTCCCAGGGGAAGATCTGGGTTTTGGTTAGACAAATAGCCTTGAACATGGATTCTGTTCTGGTGGTGGAGGCACTCGGTTTCTCTGACCACTAGATGGCAGTGCGGCCTCACCCTGGTCCTCAGCCGCAGATCCCCCGCCCTTCGTGCTTGAAAAAAAGCAGTGAGCTGATTTTAGTGCACAGTCCAGAATTTGTTTGCCTTTTATCTTTTCTGCACAAAGTGCAATTTTCAATCCCCGATTTTTATTTTAATTTACACTACAAATTTCATAAATACAACTTTAGGAATATAGTTAGTCTTCCCACCATACCCACCCACCCACACTCCCACCCCTCCTCCTCCTCCCTCTCCACTTCCCAGTCCCGTTCTCCATTAAGATTCATTTTCAGTTAATTTTGTAAGCAGAAGACCAACTCTATACTAAGTAAAGATTTCAACAATTTGCACACACACACACACAGGCACAGGCACAAACAGAACTAGTTTTACAGTTAACTCTCACAGTACAACTTACTGGGGACAGATGTCCCTTATGCTGGTTTAGTGCACAGTGTCTCCGTTGTTGATTTAACAATTGATACTCTTATGTTTGACATCAGTGATCACCCAAAGCTCTTGTCATGAGCTGCCAAGGCTATGGAAGCCTCTTGAGTTCTCCGACTCTTATCTTGCTTAGACAAGGTCATAGTCAAAGTGGAAGTTCTCTCCTCCCTTCAGAGAAAGGTACCTCCTTCTTTGATGGCCCATTCTATCCCCTGGCGGTGTCTCACCCAAAGAGGTCCTTCAATTAGGTTATTTTTTGCCACAGTACCTTGGCTTTCCATGCCTGAAAGGCTCTCACGGGCTTTGCAGCCAGATCAGGAAGCCTTAAGGGTTGATTCTGAGATCAGAGTGTTACTTTTTTTTAATAGAAAACTTTTACTTGATAAATATAAATTTCGAAAGTACAACTTTTGGATTACATCAGCTTTTCCCCCCATTAACTTCCCTCCCACCCACTAACCATCCCATCTCCTACTCCCTCTCCCATCCCATTCTTCATTAAGATTCATTTTTAATTATCTTTATATACAGAAGATCAACTCTATACTAAGTAAAGATTTCAACAGTTTGCACCCACACAGACACACAAAGTATAAAGTACTGTTTGAAGACTAGTTTTACCGTTAATTCTCATAGTACAACACATTAAGAACAGAGATCCTACATGGGGAGCAAGTGTACAGTGACTCCTGTTGTTGATTTAACAATTGACACAGAGTGTTACTTAAATCGATTGTCATTCTATGAGTCTGCTGTGTGGACTTCGTCCCATGTTGGAAGGTTCTCTCCTTTTTATTTCTATGTATTGTTATTATTGGGCACTTGATCCTATTTATATGATTTCCTTAACACTTAATCCTATCTATATGTTTAATTTAACACTTAATATGATCACTTTAACACTTAAGATGGCATTTTTACCACCAATTTTAATGGGATTTGGGGTCCCATAACAAATTTTTAAACTGTACCCTTAGAAGTAAGTCTGTAGGAATGTATGCAGAACTATGTAGCTTTACAGTTACAAACTTCCTCCTCCCTCTCTTATTCCCACTCTTATTTTTTACTGAGATCTATTTTCAATTGACTTTATACACATGATTAACTATATGTTAAGCAAAGAGTTCAACAAATAGTATTTAAAAAGACAAAAAAAAAAAAAAAAAAGAAAAAAGAAAAGAAAACGAAACTGTGGGGCCTAGGCTGTGTCATAGCGGGTAAAACCGCCATCAGCAGTGCCGCCGGTTGGAGTCCCCGCTGCTCCACTCCCAATCCAGCCCTCTGCTATGGTCTGGGAAAGTAGTAGAAGATGGCCCAAGTCCTTGGAAATGAGCAGATTTCCTTTTTTTTTTTTTTTTTTAACTGCTGTGTACTGTTCTCTAGTGTACATAACCCATAATTTCTTTATCCATTCTTTGGTTGATGGGCATTTAGGTTGATTCCATGTCTTAGCTCTTGTGAACTTAGCTGCAATAAACATGGAGGTGCAGATAACTCTTTTGTTCACTGATTTTATTTCCCTTGGGTAAATTCCCAGGAGTGGGATGGCTCGGTCATAGGTCATATCGTCGGTCTATATTTAGATTTTCCAGGTATCTCTACACAGTCTTCCATAGTGGCTTTACCAGTTTACATTCCCACCAACAGTGGATTGGGGTATCTTTCTCCCTAAATCCTTGCCAGCAGTTGTTATTTGTTGACTTCTATATGAAAGCCATTCTAACTGGGGTGAGGTGAAACCTCATTGTGGTTTTGATTTCCATTTTCCTGACAACTAGTGATTCTGAATATTTTTTCATGTGTGTCTGTCACCATTTGCATTTCTTCTTTTCAGAAATGTCTGTTTAAGTCCATGGCCAAACTCTTACTGGGTTGTTTGTTTTCTTGTTGTAGAGTTTCTTGATCTCTTTGTAGATTCTGGTTATTAATCCTTTATCAATTGCATAATTTGCAAATAATTTCTCCCATTCTGTCGGTGGCCTCTTCACTTTCCCGAGTGTTTCTATTGCCATACAGAAACTTCTCAATTTCATGTAATCCCAGTTGTTAATTCTCGCATTGGCTGCCTGTGCCTCTGGTGTCTTTTCCAAGAACTCCTTGGTTGTGCCAATGTCTTACAGGGTTTCCCCAGTGTTCTCAATTAATTTGATGGTGTTGAATCATGCTGAGTGGATTTTGTGTAACGTGTTAGGTAAGGGTCTTGCTTTATACTCCTGCATGTGGATGTGCAGTTTTCCCAGCACCATTTGTTGAATAGACTGTCCTTGCTCCAGAGATTGGTTTCAGGTCAGTGGTCAAATATAAGTTGGTTATAGATGTTTAGATTGATTTCTGGTGTTTCTATTCTGTTACATTGTTCTACCCATCTGTTTTTGTACCAGTACCAGACTGATTTGATTGTAACTGCTTTGTAGTATGTCTAGGTTCTCTTTTATCCATCTTCCTTGGTGCCTTGGGGGAAGATCTGGGTTTTCTTGGTGGAGGCTCTCGGTTTCTCTGGCCACTAGGTGGCAGTGGTGCCTCGAGCAGGTCTCTCACCAAAGCTCTCCCGCCCGTGGTGCTTGAAAAAAATGCAGTGAGATAAGTTTTAGCACACATCCTCTAACGGGGGAGCTTTTCTCTTTTCTGCACACAGTGAAATTCTCAATCCACAATTGAAAAGCCACATTTGCTAGAGGAAATAACTTCACTACCTGTGAAGAAAGACTTTACTTTTTTGGTTTGCTTTCAAACACGGTTGCTTACTTTTTATTATTATTTTTTTCTCTGCCTTAAACCAAATGAATCTTTGTGGAATTTTTGTGAGTCCTCTATGCAACCCCAAACAGCAGACAGGGAAGAATACAGCCATACACTTGAAGCCAGGGAAGGGTAGGGAGCTGACATTGGAGGGTTGCAAGTTCAGGCGAGACAGAGGGACACAGGTGAGGAGCAGGGCTACAGGCCAGGCAGAGCAGAGGGTTTTAGTCAGCACTTTCCTGTAACATCCATCAGGGAGGGCCCTTCTTTGCTAAGAGGATCCTTCCTGTGGCCACAGGTTCTCAGACTGGACTGAAAGTGCAGTCCTTGTGAGCAGTGGCCATCACAAAAGCAGGACAAGGCTGGGGTGCAGCAAAGACAGTTTCCTCTACCGGGGTAAGGACAAGGGCAGACTTGGGCCTGCAGAACCACTGTCCTGCTCAGTGAGGACACGCTGTGCTTTTCTTCTCTTTTCCTTTATTTAGCTCTTATCATTTGCCACACAATTAGAGGGAAAAAGAGAGGAGAGAGACCTTCCATCTGCCCATTCACTCCACAATGGCTGCAACAGCCCCAGCTGACCTGATCCACAGCCAGGAGCCAGGAGCCAGGAGCCAGGAGCTTCCTCCGGGACTCCCACGCGGGTGCAGGAGCTCAAGCACTTAGGCCATCTTCTACTGCTTTCCCAAGCCATAGCAGAGAGCTGGATCAGAAATGGAGCAGCTGGGACTCGAACCAGCGCCCATGCGGGATGCTGGCGCCACAAGCAGAGGCTTAGCCCACTACAACACAGCGCCAGCCCCCTGCAGTGTTTCTTAATCAGAATGAGGTGCACTCAGCCTAGCACCAAGGTTTATGTATCATCAGTAAGACTAGCTTCATCCGTCATTCATACCCCTTGGTGTTCCATCACAGTAGAGTTACACCTCGTGTGTGCTACCCAGCAGGGCCAGTTGGCAAGGCAGCTGTGCCTGCTTTGCCAAGGCCAGTTTCTGGAACCCAGCGAAGGGGCTGGGCTCTTTGAACAGCCAGCCTAGAGGCTCAGAGGCTCCATCCACATGAGAACTGGAAAGGGAAAGAAAACTAGCGGGTGGGGTTACAACCTGGCAGCTGTGTCTGCTGTTAACGCTCCAGGGCCTTGGCTCAGCCGGGGGCCCTGGCTGGATACCTAGGTCCTCTATGAAGTCTTGACCCAGAAGACCTGTGGCCTGGCCCGAGCCCACCCTAATCAGGGTGATCTCCCTGCGGTTCCCTCCAAATGGGTTGGGCAGCCCAAGGGCAGCAACCACAGGCCCCTGGCTCATGCTAAGCTCACAAGGCCACCTGCCCAGGTGTCTCTCTGGAATTCTCCGGAACTGAAGAGCCCACCTACTGAAGATGACTGAAAAGGCCCTCGCCCCTCATATGCTTGGGACTGTAAGCATCCCCTATAGGCAGATGGCTACACAAGGGAATGGCAGCAATGCATTTCCCACGGCCCCTGCCATCCTGTTCCAGCACGCGAGACCACAGAGATCATTCGAGCCACCAGCCACGTTCCTGCCCCGGGGTGCCCTCAGCGCTTGCCCGGCCCTTCAGCACTGCTGAGCTATGTCCCGCAGGGCACCCTGGCACCCCGCCTTGGAACTGACTGCCAGGTGAGATGTCTGTGGCAGTGAGTGACCCCACGTGGGGTCAGTTCAGCGGTCCCTCAAGTCCCTGCAACCTTAAACAGCGCAGCCTGCTCCATGTACCTACGTGTGCCCGGCCTGTTCTGTGCACCTGCCGGTTCCCATTGCAGTTACCCACCATTCACTCACATGCATTCTGCCTTTGTACAAATTCCTCTTGGCTCAAGCCACAGGGACCCCTCGTGCTGTGTGCACACTGCCTGTTTCAGTCCCCGCCTGATGCCCCATCTGCTTCCCCCTCACACTGCCAACGCGGACACATTTCTCCTGGGGTGGGGAGTGAAGCCGCAGATGGCGCACTCTGTCTGTCTGTCTCTGCCATGCAAACAAGCAGAATGCAGACATCTTCTAAGGAAGATAAGATTTTGCAAGGCATTCGGGGATTTTCTGGTCCAGCGGCAAAAAGCTATCTTTTGCCTGGCTCCTGCCTTGACTGGAGCCCGTGTTGAGATGTGCAGAGCGGCAAGAAAAGCATCACACTGGATGCCACGTTACAGACCCTTATGCAAGGCAGCAGAATTAGGGACGGCATCCTTGTACAGTGCTGAGGGTCTCTGCAGAGAGCCACGGGGCTGCAATGCTCTTCTCCGCCCAGGTCTGCTACCACGTCTGGATCTGCGCTGGGCAAACCCCAGCTACTGAGGGGCTCACAGGGCTCCTCAGACCACAGGGTTTTATTCAAGCACCGCTGCCCCTGCCCTGAGGAGCTACTGTGACACCCCTGCCCCCTGCCCTGAGGAGCTGTGACCTCACCATCCCCCCTGCCCTGAGGAGCTGTGCCATCACCATCCCCCTGCCTGAGGAGCTGTGACATCACCATCCCCCTGCCCTGAGGAGCTGGGACATCACCATCCCCCTGCCCTGAGGAGCTGCTGGGACACCCCTGCCCTGAGGAGCTGGGACATCACCATCCCCCTGCCCTGAGGAGCTGTGACATCACCATTCCCCTGCCCTGAGGAGCTGTGACATCACCATCCCCCTGCCATGAGGAGCTGCTGTGACATCACCATCCCCCTGCCCTGAGGAACTGCTGTGACATCACCATCCCCCTGCCCTGAGGAGTTGGGACATCCCCATCCCCCTGCCCTGAGGAGCTGCTGTGACATCACCATCCCCCTGCCCGAGCAGCTGCTGAGACACCCCTGCCCCTCGCGCTGAGTAGCTGTGACATCACGCTCCCGCTGGCCTGAAGAAGTGCTGTGACATGCCTGCCCTGAGGAGTTGGAGTGACATCACCATCTCACTGCTCCGAGGAGCTGTGACATCACCCTCTCACTGACTCGCTCTGATGAGTTGTGACATCAACATTTCTCTGCCCTGAAGATGTGTGGACATCACAATCCACTTGTCCTGATGATCTAGGACATCACCATTTCCCATGATCCTGAGATATCTGTGACATCACCATTGCCCTGCCCTGAGGAGTTCTATGACATCACCATCCCCCTGCCTCTGACCTGAGGAGCTGCTTCCATAGCTTCCCTACTGGAAAGATGTTTGGGTGGGGAGCAGGTGTCCAGGGGGCTGTCCTGCCTGCAGGCTCTCCTGGAGGGCCCGGGACCAGGGCTCCAGAGAAAGTCCCTCCCTGTTGCAGCTCTGGCAGCCTGGCCGCTCGTCCCCAGTCTCTGGGCCCCGTGTGCCTGCTGTTGGTCCCTGGGCCAAGATAGGAGCCATCCAGGGTGGGAGCTGTGACGACCTGGGCCCCTAGGCCCAGCCTCCGACCCATTCTGAACACTCAGGATCTTTCCCAGAAGTTCTTTCCCTTCCTGAGGAGTTTGAAGCTCCTGGATGAGTGATCTGGCAGCTCTCCTGTTTGACCAGAGGCCACGGCATGGAAGGACGATGGGAGAGAAATGGAAAGATGAAAATGTGGGCACGCGGCCCCTCTGCGGGTAGCGCAGGCCACACCAGCATCTCTGAGCATAGGCACCTGCCCTAGCAGGCTCCATCAGCAGCCCAGCCCTGAGTCAGAAGAGGAACGGAGGCGGCTCAAGGACTGAGCAGGAAGGGCCTGTGTATGGCTGCCTCCCTAAAGAGGACTGGCGTTGTCCGGGCTAAACAGGGGCTTGGTAGAGTATGCACTGCTGTCCCCGTGAACACAAACCTGCAGACATCTCAGTGGCTTCATCGCCAGGTGAGTGAGTGTTCAATGACAGATCCTTAGAAAAAGATTCTTCACTTAAGTCAGAGAGAGAGAGAGAGAGAGAGAGAGAGAGAGAGAGAGGGAAAATCCACCCATTCAGTGTTTCAATGCCCACGTGCCACCAACAGGCAAGACTTGGCAAGGTGACAGCTGGCAACCAAGCATTCAGTCCAGGACTCCCAGGTGGCTGGCAGGGACCCAAACTCTCCAGCCATCACCTGCGGCCTTCCTGGGGTATGTGCACTAGGAGGCAGCTCGGATCCAGAGCTCAGAAAAGAATCGACCCAGGCATGCTATTTGGGGTACACGCATCCCAAGCATGTGCTTTTTGGTTTTGTGGTTTATTTGTTTAAAAAGATTTATTTATTTGAAAGGCAGAGCTACAGACAAAGACCTTCTCTCCAATGGCTCACTCCCCAACATGGCCACAATGGCTGGCGCTGGGCCAGGCTGAAACCAGGACCCAGAGCTTTTTCCCTGTCTCCCATGTGGGTGCAGGGGCCCAAGCACTTGGGCTGCTTTCCCAGGCACATTATTAGTGAGCCGGTTTGGAGTGGAGCAGCCGGGATTCGAACTGGCGAAAAACGGGAGACGGGAGAGAAGAGAAGAGAAAGAAGGCCTGGATTGAGTACACTGACCCTTCACCCAGCTTCATTTTCTCTTTGATCCTCATTTCTCCTCCTTAGGATTGTCCTCAAGTACTCCTCTTCTTTCTATTTTTAAGCTTCATTTCTTTGAAGAGCCCAGTGTTGGGGGGGTGCGTGTGGGGGAGAGAGATCAATCTTCATCCACTGTTTTACACTCAAATGGCTTCAGCGCTCAGATGTGGCCCGGCCACAGCCAGGAGCTAGAGAGTCCAGACTTGTCTCCCACAGGGGTGGCGGTAGCCTGAGCACTGGGCCTTCTCAGCTGCCTGTGCAGGCCTGTTTGCATGGAGCTGGATTGGAAACAGGGCAGCCAGTGCTCCCATATGGGATCACACGCCCAGCCCCCAAACACTGGTGGCCCTGGCAGCCTTGCTGGGTCAGCCTCCTGGGCAATGTGGCATGGAGGGGTGAAGGGTAGTGCGTGGGGCAAGGGGAGGCTCTGACTCCCATCTGGCTGAGCAGCTGGGTGCAATCTGAACCCTGTGGCCACTGGAAGTTTCCTCTTAGGTTTGCTGGCTTGATCTTGCAGGCATTTAAGGGGGGAGTTTGGTCAGGACACTGGGACCCCAAGAAGGAGGGGGCAGGGAAACAGGTGACAGGACAGGTGGGTGAGCAGGCACCTTTCAGCTCTGTACCAGGGAGTTGAGGGAGGCCTCCCTCACAAGACAGATTTGCTACCATAGAAATAAATCTGAAAACACACACACACATACACACACACACACACAAACATAATTAAAAGGCAAAGAACAGGGAAGTATTTGCAACAGACAGGACAGAAGGCGGTTCTTTCTACCCATACAGCTGTTAGCATAATTTAATGTCATTCTGACAACAAATTAGACCACAGAGAGGGTCAGAAAAGCAACAACTCCCAGGTGAGCAGCAGAGGATGTGCCGCCCCCTGCGGTGTTCCCTGGGCTTTGCAGGGAGCCCGAGAAGCCGGGGGCTTTGCCACCAGAACAGGGCCCTCTGGAAATCCATCCACAGGGAGCAAGCAGAGAGGGCAAAAGGACAGAAGAGCAAACCATGCTTTCGTCTTCCACAGGGACACTGTGGGCGACTCTGGCCTCTTGCCCCCTTCCCCTGCGTTTCCTGGGCTGCATCTCCTGAGCAATCAGTAGGGGCCTTTTCTCCCAGGGGCAGAAAGGGGAAGTGGCAAAGAGCAGCTGCACCTGCACTGCAGGAGCCCTCTGATCACACTCAGTCTCAGAAAAGCCGCCCAGTATCCGGTGCCTCTACAAACGTTCTAGGAGCTACTGGAAGTAACTACCGTGTGATGGCCCCGGCTGCCAGGACACAAGCTAAGCTCGGCCTGAACTACTTCCTGGACTGTGGTCACCCCTGAAACACGTGCTGTCACCCCCTTCATTGCCACTTGTGCAAGTGAGGTACACAGAGGTGCACTTGGCTACCAAGAGTCATCGGAAGAGACACCAGGACTGCCCACTGCCCCCGCTCTGTCACTCTCTGGGTCACACCCTGGTTTGCAGAGAGCTTTCCTGCCCCCCCGATGCCAGCTGTGAAATTTTCACAAAGAAAATCCCTGGAAGCAATCAGGTCCTCGTTCACTTCTTCCACACAGAGCTCACTGCCCACACCCCGCCTGGCCCTGTTCTGTGGCTGGGGTGACCACAGGGCAGGGAGCAAGAAGTGAAGGAACACAGCTCCTGGCCCAAGGATGTGCGTGTGTGTGTTTAAATATTTATTAAATGAAAGGCAGAGAGAGATACTTTCCATCCTCTGTTTCACAGCCCCAGTGGCCTCAATAGCCAGGCCTGGGCCAGGCCAAAGCCAAGACCCAGGAGCTCCCCTTGTGGGTAGCAGGGGCCCCAGCACTTGGGGCATCTGCTGCTGATCTACCGGGCTCAGCAGCATGGAATTGGTCAGCAATACAGCAGTCAGGACTGCAGTGGGCAGCCATCTGGGCTGCTGGTGTCCCAGGCAACAGCTTAACCTGCCATGCCACAAACCAGGCCCCCACCGATTTTTGAAAATGAGGTGGACCTCTGAGTCCTGGCTCATGCTTTATCCGTTTCCCATCTCAGTTGCCAAGTTTGTCTCTGGTGGAGGACATGCTATCTGATTCAGTAAGAGACCCAAGGCTTACTTCCAGTGCTTGGAAATGACTTCCAGAACAAACCCCCATGCGACATACCTGAGTTTAAACAGATGCTCAAGCACCTAGGCCAAATGGAGCAGTATCTTTCCAATGCACCTTGACCCAGCAAAACCTCACGAAATAATCACACGATCTAGGTCGTAGTTACCGCTGGGAGAAAGCAGTGCAGCGAAGACTGGCTTCCTGGGTTCAGCCACATCTGGCCCCTTGCTTGACAGTGGAATGCGGGTAGCTTCAAGGAGTACTCTGGCGGTGCAGGTCCCTGAAACTCCAGATAAACTGGGAAGGCAAATGACAGGAGCCTACTGAGGGGAGAAGTGCCAGCTGCAGCGGTGCCCAGGCACCACCCTCTGAGCGGGCCCAGCAGGAAAGCAGAGGGCTTCCTCTGCAGGTGAGTTTGCATCTGGAATCCTGTGGGAGGCTGCCTCTCCTCCAGGCTGGCCTGCTCCCCCGCCCAGACCCAGTGTAACGGAAGCAGCCTCTTTTCTGGGTTGAAACTGCTCCGCTTATTTTTTTCAAGCGGGAAGGGCGGGGGAGATGAGGGGCGCAGTTCGCCGTGATCCGTTGCTGCCATCTAGCGGCGCCAGAAACAGGACGCGCACTGCACAGAGAAACCTTTTCTAAGGTTTACTTATCTGTTTGAAGGCACAGGGCCTAAGAGAGCTACATAGAGAGAGAGAGAGAGAGAGGTCCGTCTTCCATCCACCGGTTCCCTCCCTCCCGCAGTGGCCGGAGCTGCGCCGATCCGAAGCCAGGAACCAGGGCCTTTATCCAGGTCTTGGACGTGTGTGCAGGGCCCCAAGCACTGAACCATCCTCCGCTACTTCTCCGGCGCATTCGGATCGGAACATGGATCGGAACTGTGGCAGCCAGGACGACCGGAGCCGAGGGCATGTCGGCACCATGGAAGGCAGTTGTACCCGGTACCACCGCGACGGACCCAAAGCCGTCTTTGCTAATGCAAATCCGAGAACCTCTCCTGCCGCCCAACGCCCAGTCTCGAGTGCAAGATCACAGAAAACGCTTGAGACCCCTCTTTAAGTCCCGGAGATCCTGCCCACCAAAGAAGCCGTTAGTCCCGCCCTGGAATCCTAGCAACCGCCGCGGGAAGTCCCGGTGCCGCGGACGGAGGCTTCCAGGGGGCGGGGCCTCACCACGCGCGCATGCGTGGGGGTGGCTGCGCGTGGGCGCCCGGTGCATTCTGGGCCAGGTGACCCGGGGCCCGGCGTGCGTGTCCGCCCGAGTGGGCGGTGGGTGAGGCGCGAGCAGGGCCGATGGGGCAGCTGATGTCCAGGGTGTCCTGCCGGCGGCCCCCGACTTGTGGGAGGCCTACACGTTAATGGTTCAGTCTTGTCCGTGACCATTGGAGGATCGCTTCCCGCTTTTCGGTCCTCTCCTCTTTCTGTGCTGTGATACCGGGTGGTTCTCTGCGGGCGCGAAATCGTCCGACGTCTAAAGAGCGGCAAGGACTCCCGTTTCTCTTGCTGACCTAGAATGATAAGGTCGGCAGAGGCCGCAGATTCACTGTGGCCCGTCAGCCCCGCAGCGTGCTGGTTCATTACTCTGCCGCATGAGGTCTTAGCGAGGGTCCATCCTCTGCACCGGACAGTCGGGGGGAAACCCTGGGTGCGTGTCTAATCGGGAGTCACGGGTGAATGGTGCCTTTGAGTAACTGAGCCATGGGTGTTGTCTCTGGGGTCAGGGAAGGGCGAGCATGCCTGACACGTCTCCAAGTGATGGAGGCAGGCGTCCGCACCCCTGGGTGATGGCACTGTCCTGAGTGCTCTCTACTGGACCGGCAGTCTTGTCCCCCGCGTCCTGCTGGAGACACCTGCCACCTTGCGCAGTCTGCGGCTGCTTTGTGTCTCCCTCACCCTGGTCAGTTCTGCTGGCCCCTGGCTGACTCAGCCTCAGCCCAGCTGCGCTGACAGCAGCAGAGCCCCCTGGATGCGGGTCTCACCCTCATCCTCCCCCTGTGCAGGGCTTGCCCCTCTGCAGCCCAGCTGCGGGTCACCTACCCCTAAGCAGTATGGCTCCCTTCAGGTGAGCACTTGGGCACCTTTTAAGAAAAAGAGACTTGATTATTTGAAGGCAGAAGGACAGAGAAAGAGGGACAGACAGAGGGAGTGGGCCACCTTCCAGTCACTGTTCACTTCCCAAATGGCCACAGATGCCTGGGCTGGGCCAAGCCAAATCAGGAGTCTGCAACTCCATCCGGGTCTCCATGTAGGTTGCAGGGGCCCAGCACTCAGACCCTCATCAGCTCCTTTCCAAGGTGCATGACCTGATGAGCTGCGCCAGAAGTGGGGCAGGTAGGACTCCAACCAGCCCTCACATGGGAAGCAGGTATCCCAGGCAGCAGCTTAACCCACCGTGCCACAATGCCAGCCCTGCACCCTGGTCTTGAATCAGCCACTGTCCAGATTCTCCTTCAGGGAATCGTGCCCCTGGCGTGTCCCCTGCCACACAGCAGCAGCCTCCATCAGCTCCTGAAAAGTGCCAGGGGCTTCCGAAGGTTCACGGGCAAGTGGAGGTGAATGCTAGGTTTACTATGGAGCATGCAATGCTGCAGTCACTGTGATGTTTGTTCAGTGTGCTCGGATCTTGTGCACTTTTTGAAGACCCACCATACAGTCGTGCGAAATGAACGTTCTTATTCCCAAACATGTGTTGGGTAAAATCCTACTTGAAGCCTCTGCACTTCCTTTCTTCTTCTGTTTTTTTTTTTTTCTTTTTCTTTTTCTTTTTTGGACATCATATTTAGTGATAAAGACAGACAGAAAGGTCTTCCTTCCCTTGGTTCACCCTCCCAAATGGCTGCCACGGCCGGCGTGCAGCGCTGATTAGAAGCCAGGAGCCAGGTGCCTCCCCCTGGTCTCCCACGCGGGCGCAGACCTCAAGGACCTGGGTCATCCTCCACTGCCCTCCCGGGGCACAGCAGAGAGCTGTACCGGAGGAGGAGCAACCAGGACAGAACCCGGGGTGCACAGGCGGAGGACCAGCCCAGTGAGCCAAGGCGCCGGCCCAGCCTCTGCACTTCTCTGAAGAACCTTTCTTCGCTGAGAGTTTCCTCTGGGCTTGTCACTGCTCCGTGCACTGCTAACCCTGTGACTGCAACAGATCCCATTCCGGCCTTGTCTTTCAGGTCGACCAAAGAGTTTTTATATTATGTCCAACTCCAGAATGTTGCCAGACTACCTCACTTCCGCGCGCGTGTGTTAACTGCCAAATATGCCCAAGGCGCCTCCGCGGTAGACCCAGCCGTGCACATGGAGCTTCTGCACTGTGAGGCCACAAGGCGAGGCCTGGTGCCCTGTGACAGCACATTCCCTGCAGTGCTGGGCACGAGGCTCTGTTATGGGCTGGGGAGCAGGGCGTTGTCTCACAGGCTGAAGCACTTTGCGTTCCTGAAACACATCATGAGCCCTGAGCTGCCGCAGGACGTGCGTGAAGAGCGTGGGATTGCCCGCTCCCTTTGCGGGATGCCCCAGTACAGGGTGCTCATGGGGTTTGGGGACGCTGAGTATCCCACCGGTCTGACTCCTCCTTCTCCATGAACCCTCAGGGGAGGCGGCTGGAGGGGAGCAGGGGAGCTGGCAGGTGTGCACTCTGACAGCCAGGGAGTGGAGAGTGTGCTGGCCGCAGTTGGGGTGCAGGAGACGGAAAGAAACGAGCCACCTTCTGCTGGTCAGGGACGGACACCGAATAAATCAGGCTTGCAGGGACAGGGCTGCGATTCTCTGTGGCCGGTGCGGTCTAAGGGCAGGTGCAGACAGCACTGGTCCCACCCCCTAGCCCACAAGAGACAGAAGGAAACAGCCAGGGGCTTTTCTGGAGGAAGATGGGCACTGACCTCATTCCGCTCCGATGCGCATGCTCCGTCCCCGCCAATCCTCGCGTAGTTGGAGTCCGTAGCCAGGCTTCGTTTTCCCTTCTGTTTGGACTGCCTGCTGCTGTTGCTATGGTTCCGGAGGCGGGACTACGGTGGGCGTCCTTGCCTGGGACGGCTTTCGGGGGTCGTTTCGGAAGGTCCCAGTGCATTGTGTTCTTGTTCTTTATTCCACAAGGCTACTCCCGGCCAGGCCTGCCCTTGGAGTATTGGAGAAAAAAAAAAGAAAGAAAAAAAAAAGGTCAGCGTGAATTTTCGCCTGGTTTGGGCGTCCCTCCGTTTCTCTGGCCACAAGATGGCAGTGTTGCGCCGCAGCGCGAGGCTGCGCGTGCCTTCCCCCTCCTTTCGTGCTGACAAAAAACGCGCCACGTGTTTTCCCGCTGGAAAGCTGGTTCGTCTTGCAGTTCCAGATTTGGGGACCTCAAATGCCACTGTTCCTGGGGTCCCACGCAGAAACTCACTCTCGGCGCACAATGCGTTTTGCTGTTTTCGGTGTGTTGGCTTTCAACTTTAGTTTGTTTCTTGAACGTGTTTCGTTAATATATAGACCGTTTGCACTTCGAGCGGACCCGGGAACTCTTTCTTCCCACCCTGTGTGTGCCTCCAGGTTCCCCTTGAACCTGGGCCCTGCTTCTCTGAAACGTGCTGTTGCTGCATCCTTGGGGTTGTGTGCGTGGGTGTAGGTGTGCGTGGCCCTCAGGGGACTGCCCTTGGTGCAGCCGCAGTCTCGGGCTGTGCATTCCTTTTGTGGGTCTTCCCTTAGGGGTGTTCTCATCCATGCAGGTGCTTTTGACACATCTGAGGCCCAGGCTGTCAGGACCGCTTGCTTCTCTCTATAAAGCTCAGTTGGACACTTGTGCATTGCGTTCTTTTGTCTCATCTCCTGGAAGCTGCTTTCGAAAATGTTGAAATGTGTCAGGCAAATTCAAACACACTTCCTCCTGATCGCACATGGCCACCACCGTGCTCTCTGAGGAGCCTGGAGCTGTGACCCTTGTCATTTCCTTATTGATCCCGGGCCCCTGGAAGAGGACCTCGCACTGCCTGGGTGCCTGGTGAACACCGCGAAGTAAAGGGACGCTCGTGGTTCCACGCATGCTGCCTCGTGTACTACGTAAAATCAGTCTTTCCATGGCCTGGATCTAAGACAGTTATGGCAGGTAATGGGCAATGGCTCCTTGGTTGAGTCCCTGCCTCCCTCATGGCAGACCCAGATGGAATTCTGGGCTTCTGGTTTGGAACCGTACCATCCCTGACTGTTGTGGGCATTTGCAGAGTGAACCAGTGGATGGAAATAAACCATTAAAAAAATAAAATGTTGGAGCTGGTGCAGTGGTGTAATGGTTTTGCCATTTCTGATCTAGCTCTGTGGTATGTCCTGAGAAGGCAGTGGAGTATGGCCCAAGTGTTTGGGCTCTTGTACCCTTATGGGAGACCCTGCAGAAGCTGCTGGCTCCTGGCTTCAGATTGGGCCAGCTGTGGCTGTTGGGGCCATCTAGGGAGTGAACCAGTGGATGGAAGACCTCTGTCTTTCAATTTTCTTTCTCTCCCTCTCTAATTCTACCTCTCAAATAAATAAATAAATATCTTTAAAAATGAAATCAGAAAATCATTAGAGGATTGCTTCTTGCTTTTTGCTCCTCTTCTCTTTCTGTCTGTGCTGTGATATGAGGGTACATTCATGTGGGAATAAAATAGTCCTGATTTATAAAAAGAGCCATTGGCCGCCATTTCTCTTGCTGACCTACAATGATAAGAAGGTGGAGCTTGGCCAATCCACAGCCAGGGTCCAGGAGCTTCTTCCGGGTCTGCCACGTGTGTGCAGGAGCCCAACAATTTGGGCCATCTCCCACTGCTTTCCCAAGCCATAGCAGAGACCTGGATCAGAAGTGGAGCAGTCAGGACTTAAACTGGTGCCTATATGGGATGCTGGCACTGCAGGCAGTGGCTTTTTCCACTGCGTCACTGCACCGGCCCTAGCCAAGTAGTTTTAAGTAGCTTTAAGCATTAATGAATGATGGTAAAATTTATAATACCTTTAAAAAGCCATCAAAAATTAAGCATTGGCTCTCATCAATAGCCATACTATTGAGTGGAGATGTTCACAAGCATTTACTATTTAAAAATATTGATGTGTGCAATGGCAACCAATAGGGGAGCGATGGAAAATGAGTACAAGGTTTCTTTGGGAGCTGGTGGAAATATTCAAACATTAGGTTGGGCCTCGGCGTTGTGATGCAACAGGTTAAGTGACAGCTTGAGATATCCATAAGGTACCTGATTGAGTCCCAACTCTGCTTCCAATCCAGTTTTCTGCTAATGTATGTGGAAGGCAGTGGATGGTGACTTAAGTGCTTGGGCTCCTGCCATTCATGTGGCAGACCCAGATGGAGTTCCTGACTGTTGGCTTTAGTCTGGCCCAGCCCTGGCTGTTGCAGGCCTTTGGGGAAAATGAATCCTTTCTCTGTGTTAGTCTCCCTTTCAAATAAATTAAGTAATTTATTTAGATTTGGTTGAGCTTAAATAATAGTGTTCTATATACACAACATGTAATTGATTTGTATACTTAAAACAGGTACATGGGGGTGGTGCTGTGGTGTAGCAGGTGAAGCCGCAGCCTGCAGTGCCTACATCCCATATGGATGCCAGTTCGAGTCCCGGCCGCTGCACTTCCGATCCAGCTCTGTACTGTGGCCTGGTATAGCAGTAGAAGATGGCCCAAGTCCTTGGGTCCCTGCAACCGCGTGGGAGACCCAGAGGAAGCTCCTGGCTCCTGGCTTCAGCCAATTTGGCTGATGAAGCCATTTGGAGAGTGAACCAGCAGATAGATGTTTCTCTCTGTCTCTGCCTCTCTGTAATCCTGCCTTTCAAATAAATAGGTAGATCTTTTCTTAAAAAAGAAAAAGGTAAATATATTACATCCCCAATAACCCTGTTAAGAAAATTTAAAAAACAAAAAAAGTGGGCAGAAGGGGAGCCAGTGTTGATGGACGGCAGAGACCACGAATTCACTCAAGACTTTCCGCCCTGCAGGCTCGCTAGTTTATTTATTCTCTTTCACTCATCAGGTCTTCAAGAACCTCTATCTTCTGGACTCAATAGGAGTCTTTGTGAAGAAAATGGCGGTAGATCACTTTTTGTGGTTCTTGATGCCGCTCAGTTTCTCTATCCGCTAGATGGCAGTGTTGTATCATGTACTTTTCCTGCGTCTGTCTGTCCCCCGCCCTTCCTCCCTCAAAAAAATTTCTATGGAGGAGCGGCGGCGTATTGCAGCCTGCAAACTACAGTGTGCACTGGTTCGAGTCCTTTATTAGTCGCAAGAGTCAGCAGAAGACAACTCTAGGATTCGGGAGCCTCCCGCACACCTAGGAAGCCAGGTTAGCGTTCTTTGCTCCTGGCTTGGACCTGGACAGACCCCGGCTTTTGATGCCATTTGGAGAGTGATCCAGCAGATGAAAGATCTCCTTCACTCTCTGCCACTGTGTCGTTTCACTAAATCAAAGAAATCTTTCTAGGGAGGAAAGGAAAGGCATAGCGACCCAGTAGATACATAGCCAGCCAGAAAACCCCCACGTTGTCTTTTGCCTCAGCAAATTTGCCATTGGCTGGTGTCAGGCCTGGCTGAAGTCAGCACCAGGAGATTTCTGCAGGTATCTGAGGTCTTAGGCAGGATCCCACGTGCTTGGACCATCACCTGCCACCTCCCTCAGTGTGGATCGGCAGGAAGCTGCAGTGGGGAAGGGAGCCTGCACTGGATTCCAGGCTTACCAACCTGGTTTGTGGGCATCCCAACAAA